ATATGCACATATACCAAACCCGATTACTGTTTGCGTGTTTGTGCACATACATGTTCGTATGAAGCCAGAGATTAATTTGAAAATCATTTCTCAGGTGCTGTCTATGTTGATTTTAGAGTCAAATTCTCTAATGAACCTGCTGAGTAGAGTAGGCTTCCGGCCAGTAAACACCAGTGATCGCCTGTCTGCTCTATAACACTGGATTTACTAGTGTGTGACACAAGCCTGCCTTTAAAACAATGTGTGGCCAGGCGGTGGTGGCGCATGCCTTTAATCCCAGCACTCGGGAGGCAGAGGCAGGCGGATCTCTGTGAGTTCGAGACCAGCCTGGTCTACAAGAGCTAGTTCCAGGACAGGCTCCAAAACCACAGAGAAACCCTGTCTCGAAAAACCAAAAAAAAAACAAAAAACAAAAAAACAATGTGTGTTTGGGGGACAAAACTCGAGTTCTCATGCTTGTGCCTGCAAGTACTCTAATCTAGCTCGCTATATCTAGATAAATACTTTTAAAGTAGAATATCTTGAGGTAAAGAAGCTTGGTTTGCACAATTATCTTTGCTAAATTTTTATTTTTCATAGAATCAAAGAAATTCTCCTTGGTTAGTTACTGGTGAAATACTAACCTTAATTACACATGATATTAATTAAACCTAATTTTTCAAAATAAATAGTAACACTATGACTGTTACACATTGCTACCGTCAACTATGTGGGTGATACAGGTTAGATCAAGCTGGTAGTTCTTACATACTTAAATAGAATCCCAATCTTCTATGCAAGATTATGTTATGAAGCTGGTAGATTCAGGTCTGAAAAAAGTTTACTTCATCAGTTAATAATACTGCTTTAATCCCTTATGATGATTGCTTGGTTTATAATGGAATATATGCACAAATCTATGCACATATATACATGCATATACATGTTTGTGTACATTGTGATAGCATGTACTGTACATGTGCATATAATTCAATCATAAAAACGTGCATATCTTTGGAAGGTATGTCAACTTCAGGTAGAATTCTGTCAATAAGGTACTTTAGTTTTTAATAAAATAAACATGATCTCTATATTCCTAAATACACATTATAGATTCTATAAACATTATACTAAGTGAAAGAACCTAGACACCAAGAGTCACAGAAGCATCACGCCCATGACCTGAAGTACCCAGTACAGAGTCTACAGAGCTTGAGAGCAGAGTACTGGATATCCGTCATTGGGAGCAGGGATAAGAGACTGCATAGTGGGTACAGATTTTCCTTCTTGGGTGACAAAATAATAATATAACTGATTAGTTGTTATGGCTACACAATATTATTAAAGTATGGAATGCCACCAATGGCTAATCCTATTTGCATCTGACAATATATTTTAACACATATTTTATATATCACAGTTTACAAAGATAATCCAGAAAACTCACTGGTTGGACGGTGATCAAAATGATGTTCAATGATGATCTTATCCATCTTTAAAGTACCGAGTGCCTTTTGGGCTCTTCAAAAGTTGCTCAGTATTAGTTAGAAGGAATTTTCCAAATTCTAAGAATGGTGAAGGACATTTTTAGTGCTGAAAGAAAGCAAGTTATGCTCTGAAGACTTCATTGCCCCCCCCCCAATCTTTAAATACTTCTATGACTTGAGTTATGTATTCTGGTTGGGGAAGATATTTTTTTAAACAGAAGTCCAAAAATGGCAAGCAGATGATGCTCACATAATGTAAAATACATATTGCAAATGAACATCATGAATGGATGCTTCCATTCATTTTTGACATGTATTTGTGATTCCCATCAAGTAACAGTAAGTTAAGTAAAACAACTTGCTCTAATTTGGAGACAGTAAAATTTCAAATGCAGATTTGCAGTTTTGAATGGAAGTAGTAATAGTGGGAGGGTTTTTACTTCTACGATGACTAAACCAGGAGAACTCTTGCTTGTTTTCCTGCTAAGTGCAACATAAAGTATAATGGGGGAGGGGTAGAAGCAAAGTATGGGAAGTTGAAATGTTTTTAATCCCTACCCACCCGTCTATTAATATAACTGGCTGCGAGACTATAGTCTGCCTGTTTATCCAGGTCATCATAAAGAAGGAAAGTGTGCAAGTAGAAAGGAACTGAATAGGAGTGTAAGTTGGCAAGTGTGGTAGAAGATAATAAAATAGTGAGAACATGTGGATTGCTGCTAGGCACACATTAAGAGAGGTTCTTTCATCTTGAAACCAAAGAGCAACAGTAATCATTATTTTTCATTGATATCCAGCAGCTACAAATACTGTGTTTCTCTGCAAAAGTAAGACTGGCCAAATTAAAGGAACTCAACTTATTGAAACAAGCATCTAAAATTTGAAAGTGTTTTCATGAAAATATGCTTGCCTTTTCAGCAATTCTGATGTGAGGGTGTAAGGATTGAGATGTGATCTTTGTCTGCGGTTTTTTATCTTCAATACGCTACGAGGTTACTGAATGGTATAACGAATACATTTCTGTCAGTTTAACACATCTTATGTTCTAATCAATTTTTTTTTGTTTTCCAAGTTGGTACAAAATTATATTTCTTTATAGTTTTTTAGGTAATTTAAAAACTATTCTGACCTTTTCAAACAGAATAAACATATGGATAATGAAGAGACACTCAGGAGGAGTTTTGAAATAACCATTCAAAGACTCCAAATAGTTGGTATAAAATGGCTTCTCTTCCCTATTGGTTTAGTAACTGAGGAATGAATGATCAAGGCTTTGCCAATAAGCCATTATTTCAGAATCAGTGGTCCCAGACGACTAATCTCCCTATGGATGCTTCCGGAGCAGATGGTGCAGACAACATGGGGGACATTACAGAGAATGTTAGAAGCAATTACACCACCATTGAGTATTAGTGTTCTACTCATACACAGCTTTTATTCTGTAAGGTGCTTCAGAATTGCAAAGGTCTAGAAAAGTAGTTGAGTATTTGAGTGAGGTAGTATTTATTCTTATTTCTTTGACAAATTCATTTTCTGGTTACATTTTTAACTTAGCTAGCAACTTTGGATAAGACACCTTAGGACAAGAAGAATTCTGGATTATTTTTCAATTTGTCTATGAATTTTGAATTTCTATTCAAATCCCATATCCTTTTTTAATTAAAATCATATATCTATTGATATTGATACCAGAAATATTTTTAAAATAAGACAAATATATATATATATATATACATATGCATATTAAAAATTACCTTGTCACTAAGCACAAAATCTGCATAATACCAAGGCAGACCAATAACAGAATGGAAGGAGAATATGGACACAAAGTCCCATCATTCCTAGCTCAGAAGCTACTGGGAGAGGGATGTTTCCTTTGGACTGTAAGTAGCTCATGGTCAATGGAAACACTCCCATGGAAGGCCAAACACCTAAGAACATACGGGCAGCACGAATGGAACTCATGGATTTAAAAATAAAAAGAGGACGCAAAGTCTGATGTGTATCGAGGGAGGATAAATCTGGGGGAGATGGAAAAGGGGGTTAACATGTTCCACGGAAATTTTGTAAAATTTCAAAAAAATTATGGACTCCTATTGCTAAATGTCAAACATTTAGTGGTCCTTATATTCTTTTTTGAGATGATCAAATACAGTCACAAGAAGAGGCAGACGAGGTGCAGGGAACATCTGGCAGGCAGAGGGGAGAAAGTCTAGTATGTAAGCTTAGTTGCAGTTGGAGGGAAGTAGTATTGGTGCCCAAATGCCGATCAGATTGTGAACTTGACTTGCCTAAATGACAAAGTCCAAAAGTTCAGAAGTCTCTTTTGGTGGCTTGCTTACTATATTTGACATTAAAGAAATAATTGTTGGGTTTTAGTTCCACTGTATATCTCCAGTATTTTCCACATAACTGAAACATTTCTCAAACACATGTATAAATCACATATAATGAAGTCTATAGATTTACCCACTTCAAAAATGTAAGGAGAAAATGAATAATAAATCTCCACATCATGGGGCATGGTCAGGAACTCCTGGAGCTTTATTTATGTTTTTTCCTCCCAAGATCAGTGGAGGCATGAGAATTATCAGTTCAAGATTACCCTTGGCTGCATAGTAAGGGGGAAGTCAACTTGGCTCAAAATGCCAAAACAAAAAGATGTGCTATACAATATTTTGTGTATTATGCGCATGCACACACATATTCACGCATGCACCAAGCTAAATTTTGATTGAGAACGTTGACCTTACTTTTGAAATTATCTTTAAAAAGTGGAATTGGAAAATGTCCCTAGAAATACCCACTTAAAATATTGCTGGAATTAGCCAGTATTACTCTTTTAATTCTCACATATAATCTTTAGTTTTCCTAAATTACTTATTTTATCGGACTTGTCATATTTAACAAAATTATTAAATATTAAACAATTGTTTTATGCCAGGTATAGTGGCATACACATTTAATCCTAGAACTCAGGAGATAGAAACAGACACATCTCTTTGTGTTCTGGGACAGCCTGGTTTACATGGTAAATTCCAAGCATATCTACAAAGGCTGCATACTTTTGCCTCAAAAGCAAAAGTAAAATTGTGTTTTATAACTCTAAAAAGTATACATTGTTATTTTTGTATAATAGAAAGCTTTCAGAAAATAATATAACTCTGAATCTTGTTAGATATCTAGAAGAAATGTTTCTAAAAATATGAGTAATGGAGAAAATGTTTGGCGACAAATGTCTAACTACTATTTAATATTTTAATATGACAAACCAGAAAATAAAATTTTAAAGGGATAAACAAAATGTGATGAACTATCATTCTCTGCATTTTATTTCTTGGATGACTTGAGGGTCTCCAAAAACACAGTCAAACAGTAAAACATCGCTGCAATTTCACACTCTTGTCCATCATCTAGAGATTCCACGTAGATCTCCATGCACAACTGGTGAAGCTCCAGTGACAGACACTGGTTCACTATACTTCCTAAAGCCTCTTTTTATTTCTCTTCTCGTCTCCCCTCTCTCTCCCTCAGGATTACAGAGTAAACATTTTTCTTCGTCAAAAATGGAATGACCCTCGTCTGGCATACAGCGAATATCCTGACGATTCCTTAGACCTGGACCCCTCCATGTTGGACTCCATTTGGAAACCTGACTTGTTCTTTGCTAATGAGAAGGGGGCGAACTTTCATGAAGTCACCACAGATAACAAGCTGCTGAGAATTTTCAAAAATGGAAACGTCCTTTACTCAATAAGGTAAGCACAAACTTAAATGGCCAGTTTTAGAAAAATTAGGCTTGGTTTTTGTTTTCTTTGTTTATCCATACTAACATAGTTGTGAAATTTGGGGAAAACTTATCAGTTTCACTTGAGTTCTAATATGTGATATTCCAAATATATCTAATTAATAACAACATTTATAAGTCTCTAACTCCAGAACAGTACAGATTCCAAAAATCTATCTTAACAAGGCTGTGGTGCAATATTAATTTAAGACATGTTACATTTGTTTATGTTGTGAAACATTTGTTTAATGATGCAAAGATGTGTTGTATTCTTTTATATTGTACTTCTTTAATACTGTTATGCTGTGCTACTTTACCTCTCTAAAACACGTGATTGGTCTAATAAACAGCTAAATGACCAATAGAAAGGCAAGAGAAAAGAGAGGCGGGGATGGCAGGCCAAGAGAATAAATAGGAGAAATCTGAAAGAGGAGAGAGATCAAGGAAAGAGAAAAGGCAAGGTGTGGAGCCCAATCCTGATTAGTCTTAATAATAAAAACCTGGAGTCAGATATCGGGATAACAGCTGAAAGATCAGAGTCATAAAGGACCAACCATAGTTGCCTCTTACCTCTCTGACTCCTCAGACCAAAAAGGGCCAAGCTCCTCTCTCCACCCTGCCTATCACTTCCTTCTGTCTGTACAGACCTTCAGACCTCTGTGGCTAACTAGTGGCTAGCTCCACCCTCTGATCTCTAGTCAAGCTTTATTTATCAGAAGACAAGCAAAATATAATAACAAATTAGGACCTGAGGGGCCAGCCACACAGTCGCACAGCCAAGCACAGAGTAAGACTGAAAGTAAGATATACAGAAGTAGGAAAAGGAAAAATCCCAGAGACAAATGGTAGATGGGTTAATTTAAGAAAAGCTGGCTAGAAACAAGCCAAACTAAGGCTGGACATTCATAAGTAATAATAAGTCTCCATGTGTATTTGGAAGCTGGGTAGTGTGCCCCCCTAAGACAAGAATAATTAAAAAAAACTACACAAGTCAGTGATGTTTATTAAGCAAATTGGCTGGATTCACAGAAGCGATTGAAAGGCCTATGCTCTAGAAATCACTCGACTTTACTAAGGCAATAAATATCAAACAGGAGCAGGGTCCGGAAATAAGGAAAATAGCTATTTACAAAGATATACTTAATCAGCTTCACATTTTAAGTCTTTCAAAATATGTGAATTACTGTTGAAAACAGTATTCTACAGTTATTTTCTTAGCTGTGGTTAATAAAAAGATCAAGGACGGAATCCATGTTGTCTTTTTCACAAGAGAAACATGTCATACATAACCTGACATGCTGTGTTGAAACAGTTGTATCAACAGTAACGTGTTCTTAAATGTTAATAAAGTTAGACTTCGTATTTAGGCTTTAAGCATAAAATTAACTCCCTTTCTGTATTAGTTTTGTTTTTCTTATTAATGTTCTTTTGCATACAAATGTACTTCTTATGGTACCAACCACAAAGTAGCTTATATGTTCATTAATAAGGACATGATTGAGGAGCTGGAAAGATAGTTTAGCAGTTAAGACCTCTGACTGCTCTTCCAGAGGTCCCAGGTTCAATTCCCAGAAGCAACACAGTGGCTCACAATTACCCTTATCTACAGTTCCATCGGATCCAGCAACCTTGTCTAGCCTCCGTGGGCAGCAGACACACACGTGATTCACAAAAGTGCCTGAAGACAAATATTCAGAGCCACAAAATAATAAATAAAATAAATTTTAAGAAAGAATTTGGCTGAACACAATGATAGGTTCATATTATTAAATATTTTACATATATCTCCTAGTGCTTGGAAAATGGAAACAGTCAGGTCTGTGGTCTTGTTGTTAGTTAGCAAAGCCTACATGGTGATTTGTAGGCCCAAAGAAAAGAAGGAAGAGAATGAAAGAAGAAGTGAGGGGGGATGGTAGCTGATGCTTAGGAGAAGCAATCAACTCGTATTGTCCTTTGGCCGCCACACAGCTATCCTCACAAGGGCACACGCACTCACAAACATGCCCGCACACATGTATCAGTGCACAAATTACATTAAATGATTAAAACAAATTACAGCAATGAGTCCAAAATTTTCTTCCATCAAGTGGCATTATAACCACTGCAAGATTACCACAAAATACACTGTTCTTTTGTTTGTGCTAATGGTGGTGTTAACAGTCTAAAGCACGGCCCGCTGTGTAGAAGTCCAGCACATGCATTGTGTACACTAGATGTGCATTGCACTGGATCATCTCTTAATAAGCTTATTCAAGTAATTTCTGGGATGTTTACACAATGATAAAATCAGTCCATGATACCTTTCTTCAAATTTACCTCCATTTTAATCAACACATGACTATGTACATAGAGCTATGCAAGAACTTTGGAGAGAGCTCATAAATTTATTAAAAGTGATCAATGATAAAAATGAAAGGTAGGATTTATGCAGCAATGAAGAACTGTCAATTTTACCTTAATTAAGTTTTATGTTCTTTAAATTTTAAAAAAAATTAGTTATGTATTACTCAGAAAATAAATTTACATAGTATGTGATAGATTGCATTAATTCATTATCAACATTGCTGACCCTTCTGGGTTGTGGACTCATGGTGATGATATGACAAGGTATACATTGAACAAGTTTACTTCTTCCCTACTAATTTAAAGCTTGCATTTGTGCTTCTGTTTATATGGTTCCGTGGCAGAGTGCTAGCTTGGTACGTGAAACCTCCTGAGTACAATCTCCAACATGTCAAAAAATGTACATAACTTTGTCAACTATAACATTTTATTTTCTGCTAAATGTGCTAACGTATCTACAGGTAATTAAAAAAACCTCGTATCACCAGAGTTGGTGAGACGGTTCATCAGGGGAGGATGCTGGCTGTCCACACTAGCAGCCTGAGTTCAGTCCCCAAGGTGGTAGGAGATAATTGACTCCTGTGAGTTTCCCTTCATTTGTGTACTATGGGATGCTCATTTACACGGGCATCCATGTACATGCACAAATTATTAAATTATAATATAATTTTAAGTAATGTTTCTTTATTATATATAACACCAGAAACCACGTACCATGGAACAATCATTTTTGTAAATTGAGAATGTGTTGACTATTTCATTTGACAGAATTGAAATATTCTGTGTGTGTCAGCACATCTCTGAGTGTGTGTGTGTGTGTGTGTGTGTGTGTGTGTGTGTGTGTAATGTATCCAATATGATTATGGGCATTTATATATAATTATATTGGAGCTGGAAAATGTCAATATATAGAAACGAACTATGGCGCTAACAGATGGCTCAATGGGTTAAGGAACATTCCGGAACATCTGATGACATGTGTTTGATTCCTAGAACCCATATGCTGAAAGAAAAAGGCCAACTCCTAAAACTTGTTGTCTGACTTCCACATGTGTTTCATGGCATGCATGGAAAGCTCCCCCAGTAAATACACTGAAAGTTAAAAATGTTAATTAGAAATAAGAGCTATGCTCTCACGTATTCCCACATTATTAAAAATAAACTGGAGTTCTTCTTGGGAGGAGGAACTTTTCATAGCAATATGATATCTTGAAGGCTTATATCAATTAAGTCTGCCCTTTCTGAATATTCATCCAATAAAACAGAGCTGTTAGATAATTTTAAAAGCAAAACAATTCCTTCAGTGAAAATGCATTATGCTAAAGGTATCAGCATTTATTTAAAAGAGCATTTCTACATAATTTTCAAGACCTTGTCATTGTGTCACTTGTAAATGCCTGAGGACTTTGCTGAAGACAGAGGAATGATGATGGATGTATTTCTTTTGTAAATGGGACCATCCCTTACAGGTAGCATGTATTTCTTTTAACATTTGGAAAAAGGCTATGAAATGATTAGAAATTTTTCTTTTATCTTTCAGTATGAATTTAGATGAAACAGATGGTCCTTTGGTTCATAGTCATTCCTGTATCCTGAATCAAATGATCAAACAAAAAACAATTTCGTGAGTTGATTTTGGATATTTCACAGAACTTTGAAATCCTAAAATGCTCCAAATTTTCAGTTTCTTTGATAGAAAAAAAAACTGTATTAGAAAACAGATCTTGTCCAGTTTGCAAACAGAGCATCCAGGCTGTTTCATGGGAAATTGGACTTCCCTGCGTGTTTAAAGAAGGCATGAGGTCCTGGCAAGTGCAACTGAGGGAACTTGAGCAGGCATCTGCATTTCCTCTTTAAGTCTCACTAAAACCATGAACTGAACTGAATAACGAGGAAAGATGGCATTAGTACACAGGAAGTTGAAACAAATAGATAACAAATTAACAACAGACGTGTGGGAAGAACATTGTCTAGGAAGCTTGGAAATGAATGTGAGAACTGACTTAGGCAGAGATGGTAGAACACAAGACAAGTGGAAAACAGCAGAAGGCAGAAAATAATTAAGATCTTTAAATTTGGTGGGATTTTAGGTGAGTAGAACTTTATAAAAATGCAGGATAGCGAAGATATAAAATGAAAAACTGAGAATGGATTTAAACTTTTAGTAAAAACAGGGAACTTCCTACCCTGAGTTCCTCACCCCATACTCTTCAATCAAGGATTTCTTATTTTGTCTTTAGACCTGGGCAGAAGCAGGATAGAAAAGAACAAGAGGTGTTTTCAGGAATTTCAAGAGCAAAGATATAGCATCCTCTTGTAATTCTCAAGAGACATCAAACCAAGGCCATGAGAATGTATGAGATTGTAAAGGAAATAGTTACAGAGCTTGATGAACACTAACATTCAAAAAGTCACTACGAAACGCTTCTATCGATAATTATATTTCTGGTGGAACTTAGCTTCCCTAGGGAAAAGGGTTTTCATTGAGCTATTGATGCTGACAGATGTGTTGCTGGATCATCCTATAGCTACGGATGCTGCCATTTGCTTTGCCATATCATCCTATAGCTACGGATGCTGGCAGATGTACTACCGTATCATCATAAAGCTATGAACATTACTCCATGA